GGCCTTCTGATTCATGGCTATTGTTGAGATCCCATTGTTGGACAGCTCCCACAAAAGTGATGTCTTCACAGCCAAAGTTGGCCAGAATTTTCACTGATTGGTTTTACTCTTGACATCTGGGATCTTGTTGAATTAAAAAGAAAAAATCCCCAAAGATATTGGGGCAGAGAGCATGTAAGCCAGATTTGAGCTACTGCTGCTGCTGCTGTTGCTGTGTGTGTGTGTGTGTGTGTGTGTGTGTGTGTGTGTAAGAAGTTCATTGAAGCAGCCAATGAATGTACTGATTTGCTTCTGAAAAATGTACAGATGGGAAGAGATAGGAGTTTAGAGAAGCACAGATGGGAAAGTTTTTTCATTTTGGTTTATCACTGAGCAGAGACCTGGAGTTGCTGTCAAGACTCACAGATGCAAACACAGGGAGGAAGAATGATACAGACACATGACAGGAGGCAGCCAGCAGGGAATGTAGTTCTTCAGGGTTCTGACACATGAGGAATGACACGTACCAAGGGGAGAGCTGGGAATTTCAGCACAAGTATCTGGTTTCCTATGTGAGGCCAGAGCTGGGTGTCAAGGATGATTTGAAGACCCAGTGATATTTCCAGATGATTTATACAAGCTTCTCCTACCGCCCCCACCCTTAAAGAATGAGTCATGTCTCTGTACTTGATTTGCTGAGCCAAGTACTGCTCTCTGAAGTCTTTATGCAGCTTGATCAATTGAGTGATTTTTTTTCTTTTCCTTCTTTTTTTCTTCTTCTCCTCTCTCCCCCATCCTTGGTACTGGTATGCAAATGCTCTACTACTGACCTATATCCCTAGCCCAATTTTGCTTGTTTTGAAATCAATTTTCCTGTTCCATCATTTTTACAAAATGGTAGATAGACTTTATTATTGATATTACCTAATGTATAGTCTCAATTTTGCTTTTGTGGTTCTCATTGGAAAAATTTTATAGAGCTCTGAGCACAGTGCACATCTACAGAGTAATCTCCTTTTGAAAATATCTGCTACCCTCCGTCTTTTTATTTTTCATGGCTACCAAATAATGCAGTTGGAGTCCTTAGGATAAACCAATATCACTGTGTTATAAGTTTCCTTCTTTGGTCATTAGAATGTAATGGAAAGTGTTTGAAATTTGTTGGCCTTTCAGATGCCTTCAGATGAAACTCAAGAATCACTTGAGTTTAGATGCCAAAAGTATGTTTGAAAAGTATACATTGGCTGGGCATAGTGGCGCATGCCTGTAATCCCAGCAATTCGGGAGGCTGAGGCAGGAGGATCACAAGTTCCAAGCCAGCCTCAGCAAAAGCAAGGAGCTAAGCAATTCAGTGAGATCCTGTCTCTAAATAAAATATGAAATGGGGCTGGGGATGTGGCTCAGTGGTTGAATGCCCCTGAGTTCCATTCCTGGTTATCCCCCTGTACCCAGAAAAAAAAAAGAGTATATATGGGATTGGTTTGGCTCTGTATTTTTAGATGAGTGTGGGATTATTTGCCTGGACAACCCAGCTCATTCTGGCTGCTGTTAATAAACTTGGGGTACATCCAGCTGCCCTTGTAGTAGAGAACCCATTGGTTCCCTCACTGGAGGAGCCTAAGGCAGTGGAAAATGTTTCAGTCCATGCCACTATACTTGCTGAGACCTGCTGATGGAAACACTGATCTTTCCTTGCCTGGAATAGGAAGGACCGAGTTTCTTTAGAGACTTGTGGGCTGTCAAAACCCAACACAACCTTCTTTCTACCACCACTGCTGTGCCTGTGGCCTGCTATGCCTGCAGCCCTCTTTGGCGGGAATCCTGCCTTCTTTCCCCATTATCTCACATGGGCTAAAAGCAGTTCCACCCATTCCTTTTGCATTTGAGTTCTCTATAATGTCCACTTATTTAATGGAAAATGAGCCAATTTCTAGAATGATGTCTTGAACTAGAAGGAAGTCCTTAGTAAGACAAGTATACCTAGAAAGGCCTTAAAGCCTCTACCTGTGTAAATCCAGCTACTGCCAGACCAATGCCCAGCAGGCAGATGGAAGGAAGGGGAGCACTGTAACTGCAACTCCTACCAGGACTGCCAAATGGCCAGTTAACCACCCCAGTCCAGAGGTGCATAGGGCATCATCATTCAGCCCTTGAGTCAGAGAGGAAGATCAGGTCACGTTTGTGAAATGTGGAGAACAGGGACTGACTTAACTCTTCCATATACCTTAGTGGACATCGTTCCCATGAATTTACTGTGTTCTGTGGGTGAGAAGCTTAACTGGATAGTTTGCATGATGTTGACATAGGAGCCAGTTGAGGCTGAAGGGCCAAAGTAGGCTTAGTGGSTATGGTGTCACACCTCCTATAAACCATCTCTCACTGTTCACAATGCTTCTGCTAGAGAGAGACTGCTGCAGTCTGGCTGGGCACAATTCAGGAGCCACTTGTCAAAAGAAACGAACTTTATTTTTAGAACCACATACGCCAAACAAAACAGCTCCTCAGGAAAACCCCTCAGAGCCCAACTGCCACCACCGGCTTCCCACAAGCCTCTCAACTCTCCCCCACTCCCCCTGCTCTTGAGGCCAATTGGCTGGGTCGCGTGGGCGGAGCCAAAATAGTCTCCCAATGAGCAGCTCCGTGGTCTGAAAGGGCAGGGAAACAGCCCAATGAGCATCACCACAGAGGAGCCAATCAGCTAGATGTTGCTGGGGCCGCTGTGGGCCAATCATCAGCTGGCAGTCTGAAAGTTTGCTGTGTGAGTCTGAAAGTTTGCTGGGGCTAAACTGCTTGCAGAACTTGCCTGGACTATGTATCACTTGTATGCATTGTGAACTCACCTGTATGCATTGTGAACTATCTGTTGGTGCATCGACTTGTAGTAGTGTTGGGGTATTTTTGCTGATGATGTYATCGGTGGCACAATTTTCCCAAAAGGAGCCGTCAATTGGCTTGGTGTATCTTCCTCCCTTCTGCTTGTAATGATCGTTCAGCTAAAATTTGGGGGCCAACAGAGGTGAGGCAAAGAACCTCACTCCCCCCGCTGGTACAAAGACCTCTCCACAGGTGTGGCTGTATACTGGACCGGTAGTCAGTGACGGGTAAGATCCAATTACAATGGTACCAACCTAAGACAGGAGGCTGACACCTTGAGGTCAGCTCATCCAATAACGGGTAAGGACCATATGTACTATTGGACAACCTAAGGCAGGCACAGTCCCTAAGCCACATGCTTGTTGTTTAAACAGAGAGGGGGAGATGTTGAGAGCCACAGCCGAAGGGGCCCCAGCAAACTTTCAGACTGCCAGCTGATGATTGGCTCACAGCGGCCCCAGCAACATCTAGCTGATTGGCTCCTCTGTGGTGATGCTCATTGGGCTGTTTCCCTGCCCTTTCAGACCACGGAGCTGCTCATTGGGAGACTATTTTGGCTCCGCCCATGCGACCCAGTCAATCGGCCTCAAGAGCAGGAGGATTGTGGGAGGTGGAGAGGCTGGTGGTTGGGAGAGAGGCTTGTGGGAAGCCGGTGGTGGCAGTTGGGCTCTGAGGGGTTTTCCTGAGGAGCTGTTTTGTTTGGCGTGTGTGGTTCTAAAAATAAAGTTTGTTTCTTTTGACAAGTGGCTCCTGAATTGTGCCCAGCCAGACTGCGGCAAGAGACCATGGGGCTGAGCTAGTGTGTTTTGTTTTTGTTTTTGTTTTATTGTTATTGTTTTTTGAGACAAGGTCTCTCTAAGTTGCCCAGGCTGGCCTCAAGCTTGCAATCCTCCTGTCTCAGCCTCAGGAGCAGCTGGAATTACAGGTGTGTGCTACCATGTACAGCTTAGTGTGGTTTACATGATCATAAGATATAAGCATCGTGCCCTGATGTTGATTAAGACTATGATGGCAAGATGCCCAGGGTCTCAGTGTGAAAGTGAGGCTGAGACATTTAATTACCTGTGTGTTAGCTTCCACTTATCCCCTCCAAGACACACCCACATGTGCTCCCTGGGGCTACTTCCCCTTGGGGTGTGAGTGTTGATCTCTTGCTCTTCATTTTCTTCTTTCTTCCAATACTTTTACTCAACTCCAGGGAATTTTCTTTTGGAATCACAACTCCAAGACTTGTTTGAAGGGTAAATTGAATTTATTAATGAATCAGAGAAAACAGCACAAAATGACCATGAAAAGCCAAGAAAGATGAATAGGGGTTCACTCTGCCTGACTCTCMCGTGCTTATTGGAATAAAGCCTCCCTGGGTCGAAAGGATGGAGCCCCTTCATGAGGGAAGGCTGGTCCTGCAGGGGGAGCATAGTGTTCCTCTGYTTCTGTGTTATGACTCCAAAACTCTCTCTCCATACCCTGTGGAAACTTTCCTTCCACTGGGTTATAAGTCTGCTCATCTAAGACCTAAACAACTTAGAAAGAATGTTTTTAAAGACTTTTTTTAAAATTTTAAGCATACTTTTTGACACCTTTGGATTTCATTTTATTTTGTTTGAAGCAGCATATTTAGAGAGAGATTCAAGCCCGACCCATTTTTAATGCTGCTAAACAATCTAGACCTAGGTTTATCCCTTTCACACTCAGAGAGAAAATATTAAGATCTTACATTAGACTTTTCCACATTAGCATGACCATACATCATCTCATTTGATCCTCACAAGAGCCCTGTGAGGTAGGCAGACAGGCATCATGGCTCCAGAACACAGAGGACAGAGTTGTAACTGGAAGAGGTGATAAGTGAATTCATGTCCTCTGGCTCCTGGTCCAGGGCTCCTTCCACTCTAAGATGAACTGAGCTCATCATTATGAGCAAAGCAGCCTTTTTGCTTAGAATAAATGAACTGTCATTTGGGCTTGCAAACACAGGCAATTTAAAGTACAGACCTCATCAGAGAACTACGGAGTAAACACACCTGAGCTCAGTTCAGCGTCAGCATTAGATGGATGAATAGGACAGAACATGGACATCTTTGACAAGGGTTTCTGCTTGTTTTCTTGATTCTCACCTGGACCATGTTGGATGTTGTAACTTTAAAGCAGCAAAGTCCAGGAGGAGAGTAGCCATTCAAAGGACTTTTTCATCTAGTAATTTATTGATTCCTTCACAAATCCTCTTGAGGTTGGGCCTACAGTCTCCATCTAGACTATAGAGGGTGGATAGGAACTCCACATCAGCAAAGTGGTTGAAGACATGGTTGATGCGCCCATGGGTCCTGGGCGTCAGGTGCCGCTGCACCAGTTCATGAACCAGTTCCTTGCACTCATGCAGGAGCTTGGAGAGCACGTTCTTATCGAAAGTGTATTCTACCTCATAGAAGCTGACCATAGTCATGGCGGTCTGGTTCAACTTCTTCCGGAACTTCTCCACAATAACAACCTCTTCCTGATTGAACTGGTTGTTCCTATAGAGAATCCCAATTTTGATTGCCACCTTGATTAAGTCTTTCATTATCTTGTGGGCTTCCTTCTTGTTGTGGGTGTGCTCTTTGGTGACTTTGTAGAGCTCATCAAAGATCTCACTGCTGGTGTCGTCAATCAACATGTTGACCACAGTTTTGCTTGCTATTTTGCTCAGAATCTTCTTCTGGGCTTGAATGGCAAGACTCTTTGAACTAAACACATCAGAACCTGTAGTAAGAAAAGAAAGAAATGTTATAGGAATATGAGAATTGTTAATTATGTTTCTAAAAACTCATGTCTTTATACCATAACTCCCTAACTGAACTCCACACAAGCCTGGTGGCCCCACATTCTCTTCACATGCTGTGCCTCTTTGCCCTTTGGAACCTTCTTAACTGTTCTTGTGCTCTTTGCAAGGGAAGTGGTCTCCTCTTGTCCAGGCTACATCTCACTATTTTGGATCTTCAAGCATAAAATCTTTTTTTTTTATTCTACTAGCTCATGGAGAACTCCTACAATTGCTGCCACCATGGAAACATTCAGTTTCACAAATTACACAGGAGCAAATTATTGCATAATGACAGGGATCAGTAGAACCAAAGCAGTAGGCACCAAGGGCCTTCCACGGCCCCAGTAAGCTCTCTCTCCAAAGTCTAAGACTATAGGATCTTTAAGCAACTTGACATCCAAGTGAACCTGACATAGTCAGGATTTTCCCTTCAGCCTCAGAGCAAAGAGAATAAACACATATCATATAGAACATAAAAGGAATGAATTGTGTCTCCTGACTACCCCAAGAAAGCTCTGATTTCYTGATTTATGCTTTTCCAGAGTTTGAGACAAATGTTATTCTTGCCCAGTGTGATCATCCACTGTGGTCTCCAGACTTTGTGTGAATAACTTTTGCTCAAAAAAAAAAATCAAATATGTCCCCCTATGACAAATGTTTAGAAGCACTAGGATTTTCAAAAGATTGTGCTGTAAGCTTTCAAGTCAGTAATGGCCCTGTCACTGAAACATGTCTATGTCTCCTCAGGTGATTATTCCAAAAGGAACAATGAAATATAGATGGATCTGTCTTGAAATATAAAAAAATGAGTCATTACTTTATAGTCACAGCTTCTAAAAACTGCCTAAGAAAAAGGTCTGTTATCATTTGGATCTTTAATGTACCCTGAAAAGCCTATGTGTTAGGCAATTCCGGAATATTCAGAGGTGGGATGATGAGATTATGACAGCTGTAATTCATCAGTAGATTAATCCATTCAATAGATTAATAATTTGAATGGACTACTGGGTGGTAAACTGTAGTCTGGTGGTARACTGTAGAATGGCTGGAGAAAGCAGGTCATTGGAAGCATGCCTTTGGGGACTATATCTTATCCATGGATTCTTGTTCTCTCTCTGCTTCCTGGCTGCCATGACCCTCTGCCATGATGTTCTGCTTCATCTTGGTCTAATTTTTAAAGAAGACCTTGCTGTGCACCCTTTAAATGGACAATAATGGATATCATATCACAATGGTACTTGAATTACCTCATACTTCTGATCTCTAGAAATATACAATGGTGCATTAGTGTTTTAAGCCACTAACCTTGTGATAAATAGTTACAGAAGCAATTGGAAATTAATTCAGGTGAGTAGAATTCAAACTTCCTTTTTTATTTTTTGAGACAGAATATTACTGTTGTCCATGCCATCCTTAAATTCCTGCACTCAAGCAATCCTCCTGCCTCAGCCTCCTGAGTAGCTGGAACTGTAGGTGCATGTTCATTTCCCAATATTATTTGATCAAGGAAATCTTTCTGTCTTCTTAGTAGAGCAATCACCTGTCAGGTGTGCCAGCAATCAGGAGTTTCCCAGATAGTGGACTTCACTGACAAATTTGAAAAAGTCCCAGGCAAATTAGGACAAGTTGGTCACTTTACTTTTATTCTTGAAGTATTAGTGATATGTGTATCATTGAGATTAAAAAATGAAGAACAGAGATGCAAAAAAAAAAAAGAAAACATTTCAGAAAGTGGAAGCAGATAATGTTTAATTAATGGGTAAGATGCTTCCAGATACAGCAGGGTAAGCTGTACACTCTACATATTGCCACACTTCTCACTCCTTTCTACCTGCTTTTCAATTTTAGTGTCATGGGCTGGGGGTGTAGATCAGTGGTTGAGGGCTTGCCTAACATATGTGAGGCCTTGAATTTGATCTCCAGCACTGCTATTAATTAATTAAACTAATTCTAGAGTCAATTAATTAATTAAACTAATTCATTTTTATCCCCTTTAGACCAAGGACTCTTTATTCCTTTTTTTTTTCCTATAGTTATTCAGCACTTACTATTAGCTTGATTCTGTATGAAGTATTATGGAAAAATCCCCCCAAAAGTATTCAGTTGGGTCTTATTTTGAATATGGTTCTGCAGGGAGGCAAGATATAGATAACAAAACAAAATGCAGAAACATGAAAACAGCCTAAATTAGCATGAGTGGTAATTGTTGGCATGAGCTCTGAGGACTCTGAAGGTAGATTTGAATGTAGGTAGATGGAGACAGCTACAATGTTAGAAAGTAGTTTCTAAAGTCAGGATACAGGCCAGTAATTTTCACCAAGATGGTAAGTCCCTTGGTGGTTTCCCTGATGTTTCCAGTCATCTTTCTTGTAACAAAAAACCCCCAAAACAAAACAAAAACAAATAAACTTATTTTGTACCTACATGTGAATTAGGAGTACAAACTTCTAGGGTGAGAGCTTAGAAGGATCACAGTGTGAACAACATCTCTGAAGACTTAAAGATCAAAACTCTAGAGCAGAAAAACTCAAATGTTATAGATAAACAAAATCACTGGAAAGCTTTTAGGAAAAAAATTCACCACCAACACCAATGATCCCAAGCTGTCACAAGCTCCCTAAGTGATTATGACATGTTAAATGTGCCCCACCATGTATCCTGTGAGTCCTGTTCTGTCCTCTAGGATAGAAGGATCTGTAGTCAAGTTCAATGAGTTTGTAGATGACTAAATATTAAGGCTGGCTCTTGATGGTTCACCATACAAGTAGTTTACTAAGGCTTTGAGCAGTCCTGCAAGAAAGATAGCTGCATGTATGATTTTATTTAGTCCACTTCCCAAACTTTCTGGAGACACACACACACACACACACACACACACACCCCACACACATCTTTTACATGTAGAAAATAATGGGAAGGATGAAGAGAAATAAAATAAAGACAGTCTGGTCAACAGAACACTTTTAATACCTCCCAAAGATATGTCAGGGCACAGTGGGGAGATGCCACTTCTTATGGTTTGGATATGAGGTATGTCCCCCCTCCAAAACTCCTGTTAATGCAGGAATATTCAGAGGTAAAATGATTAGATTATTAAACTGTAACCTGATCAGTCCATCCTAGTTTGAATGAACTGACTGGGTGGTAACTGTTGGCAGGTGGGGTTTGACAGGAGTAGGTGGACCACTGAGGGCATTCCCTGGAAAGTTTGTTCTTCCTACAGCCCCTTCCTGTCCTTCTTTTTCTGCTTCTGACCCATCTATGAGATGAGCCATTTTCCTGTGCTCTGGGCCCTTCCACCATGATGTGCTGCATCACCTTAGGCCCAGAGCAATGTGGTCAGCCATCTGAGGACTGAGACATCTGAATCTGTGAGCCCCAAATAAACTTTTCCTCCTCTAAGTTGTTCTTGTTGGGTATTTTGGTCACAGTGATGAAAAGCTAACTAAAATACCACCGTTCCACCATGCATACATGATGTTACAATGATTTGAGGGAGAGGGTGTGCCCTGAGGGGCAGTCTGATTCAGAAGATTTTGCACAAGCAAGGGAAATCTTGGYCTTGCTTCCATCCATCCTTTTGTCTCAGTCTTCTGCAAAGGGACCTTGTTGGTGACCTATAAGAAGGGATACTGTAGGCAGAGAGGAAGAGCATGAGTTAGGCTTTGAGAGTCAAGGTCAGGAGTATGCTTGGAATATTTGGGGGAATAGGCCTAACTAGTGGACATATGCTTCTTGGTGGAAAATACCAAGATATCCAGGATAGGCCTTGGCAAAACCCATTTTCTCATCCCTGTATACAATCCTGAGGAAAGCTCTTTTGGCTAAGGATAAATTTCTTTTGACTATGTTTGAACAAAAGTTCCCATTCTCTAGCGACGAAAGGTAAGAGATTAAATATGATACTTCAGAGCCTCTAAACATAGAGGTATAAATATGATTATACAGCAATAATATAGCTCCCCTGACCAGCATAATGAGACAACATTGATGAAGCTGAAAAATCCATCCTTGTAGAAAGAAATGGAAACTTTCTGAACTAAGATTGATGGGAGAGCTCGAGTAAAGGAATGTGAAGTCAATGCTTTGAAAGTAAGTATCCTTAGGACATTTATTAAAAAAGGAAAAGTACCAGGACTATGTTGGGAGAATGGTATGACAGGAATAGGGAACTAGTTTAGGGAGACAGAAAGCAAAAGATAATCTAAGTGGGGACTTCACTGGGACTAGTCTGAGTTACTGCTTTTATAAATGATGTTCATCCAGAGAATAAGTGATGTTTCCATGATTCTAGAAAACACCAACCTTTCTCAGATGGTGAAATGCCACCCTGATGGTGATAAACAGCAAGATCTTACCAAGCCGGATGAATGGGCCTAAAAGAGGCAGATGAGCCTGGTAAGATGAGCATGGTAATAACAAGGTAATAAATTTGAGGAAAGATGAAATAAATGATGATTATAGAAGATTATAGCCTCTGAGCTGTCAGCTATCGCCTAGGAGAGTACTTTGAGCCTCACCCAGGATGTGGAGGTGGAGAGGGACCAGGGGACAGCTCTTCTGTCACTCACAGGACTCTGCAACTTCTCTACCTCTATAAGAAGGGTGTGGAAAAAACTTGAATATAAATATGGAGAGTTGTATCAAAATTAGATAGCTTGAAATTATGTGTAATAGCCAGCATACAGACAGTATCACTTGACTTCTGTAAAAGCTTAAGATGAAGGCAGGAAAGCAAATTAGCTAAAAAATGTTAAGTAGAAGTTAACAGTGGACATGGTATCCAGACAAAAATAACCTGTGGTGCTTTATGAGCACCACCTGTCACGACAGAGGACCCAGGGTACAGGGAAGGTGGGAGGGAAGGCCCCAGGTCATGGGGGGCAGGGTAAGACCCTGTGCCAGAGGAAGATCTGTGGTAGTCAATGCTTCTGACTCT